AGAAGAAGAAGAAGAAGAAGAAGAAGAAGAAGAAGAAGAAGAAGAAGAAGAAGAACAAGAAGAAGAAGAAGAAGAAGGAGATGCAGGAGGAGGAAGGAGAAGGGGAGGAAGATAACGAGAAGAAAAGGGGGAGGGGAAGAGAAAGAGAAAGAAAGAATTCACCTGTGTTGGCGGAGAAGAAATTGGCCGACATAGAGAAAAAGAAACACGGGAAAGGATGGGAAATGAAAAGAATTAAAGGGTATTTTGGGAAGATTGGGTATGAAAACGTAGAATGGGAACTTTATTTCCGGACGAAAAAAAGCGTAGACTGGGAACTTAAAATCCGGACGGAGGGAGTATTAAAAACCATATAAGTGTAGACATACTTTTATTTTTTTCAAATAAGTTGTCTAATATTTAAAAATACTCGAATGATATATTTGCATGATATGCATCTTGTAATACTATCAATTATATCAATTATATTTTTAAAAATAAAAAGAAATCTTTACACAAACTTTTTTTAATGATGAAATATTTTAAAAATTAAGTGAACTTGTAACAAAAATCATTATAGCTTAGATGGTAGGAACTTAACTATAATTGTCTAAAAGATCTTGAGTTCAAGCCCCCATGATGTATGTTTTTGGAGAAAAATGCAAAAATTTGCAAAAAAAAAAATAAAATAAAATTCCAAAATAAGAATTTTATATTTTTATTCTCAAAAAAGGAGTTAAAATACATATACAATGTTAACCATGTCAATATATTATACCAAAAAATATTGTGAAAAAATATCTACAGTGTCACATTATTACGGTGCGAACTCTTATTTTGAGGATAAAAATATGAAAATTCTATTGTGGTATTTTATTTATATTTTACTCCTATTTAGGATGATTTCTTTTTTAAATTTTGTCAATCCGGTGTTACTTTTTGGAGCTAAAAACATTGTCAAAAACGATTTTTTTTCTAAATTGGCTAATGATGCATTCAAGAGCTTAAAGTTTTGGCGAGAACGTGCATTATGTGTATAAATTGGCGGATCCACGGCAACACGATGGTCGATGGGGTAATGTCCGCCATCTGCCGTCAAAGTATATACTCCGTAATACTTCTAACCGAACTAGATTTTAACTCGTGTGATGCACAATAACAACAACAACAACATAATAATAATAATAATAATAATAATAATAATATTAATAATAATAATAATAGTAGTAGTAGTAATAATAATAATAATAATAATAATGGTTTTTTTCTTTTGATTTTTTAATGTCAAACTGGATAGATTTTGTGCTTTAGTTACTCTTATTTTTTATTGGGTATTAGTATAAATTAGTAAAATTTTGAAACTTTTTAAACAAGTTAAATATTTTAAAATCATTTTTATACTAATATAAATTGTAATTCTTATTTAATTAAAGTTTGAAAATTATTGAGTTTGACTCAAAAAAACCAAACCATACAAGTACATGTTTCGGAAGAAAGCATTTGCGACGGAGCACAAAGAGCTTGGTGGACAAAACTTTTCTGACATTGGAATTATTAATTAATCTCTGAAAAAAATTGGCTTCGCCCGGGTTTGAACCGGAGACCTTCAATGTGTTAGACTGACGTGTTCACAAACTACACCACGAAACCTTTTTATTCTTTGCAGAAGTTTTTCAATATTAATACTGTAAACTAAGGAAAAATAAAAACACAGACTTGTGGCTTCGCCCGGGTTCGAACCCGGGACCTTAAGAGTGTTAGACTGACGTGATAACCAACTACACCACGAAACCTGTTTGCATTTGAGCAGAACAAAATTTTAATTATTGACATTGTAAACTAAGGAAAAAATAAAAACAGAAAAGGGTTTTGGCTTCGCCCGGGTTCGAACCGGAGACCTTCAGTGTGTTAGACTGACGTGATAACCAACTACACCACGAAACCACATTGCTCCAAACTTTGGGTTTTTCGCATATGAAAATAGCTGTTCTGCCTTCTTTGTGACGATTTATTTTACTTTTTTTCGAGTGTCAATTCGACTACTCTTCTTGCTGAGATTTCAAAATATGATAACATATGAGTTCTAAAACTTGAAATAAATGATATACGTATCATATCATGTAATTCCCCTGTATACTACAAAAACATTAATCATATTGAGTTTTTTAATATAGTATCATATGTTTTGATTTCTCAATGTAGTTGATGGATACCCTGGACAGGGGGTATCCGATCTTTGTATAATATTGGTCGGGGCGGTCCAGTCTGTTGGACAAGCCCATTTATCGTGTATTAATTACTTTTTAGGGGCGGCCCAGTCTGTTGGGCCGGCCCATTAGTTTGTATGTATGCTCAAACCCTAACCCTAACTCTCCCTATTTATACTCCTCTTCTAGGAAGAGGGAGGGGGAGGTGGAGGAAACAATGGAGGCTACACTATTCATCATCTTCTTCATCTTTACACATTTTCTCCTTTTCCTCTACCCTTGGATTCCTTAATCCAACAGTAGTACTACTATTCAATATCTCTAGATATTGTTCAAATAAATGTCCACCACCACAGGACAATGTTCAAGTAAAATGTCCACCTTCACAGGACAATATTCCTCCGCTAACATTGTTCAAATATTATTTAGAAATAAAAGATTTTAGATACTACATTTGAAGTGACATTCGAAAAAAAGGTGGAGTGGAAGGACGGTGATGAGAAAGAGCTTCGGAGTTGAAGAAGAGATCGCCATTGTCTTCATCGATTTGGATTGCAAATTTGAAGATTTGCGGGAGAAGGGAACCGATTGAAGGGGGAAGAATTTATGGAAAAGGACGTTATATCTAGGGCTGTTTGGGAAAACAGAAAATAACAAACCAAATGGAAATCGATCGAAAGGAAGCTAGAAAAAAAACTAAATCGAAAAAAACCAAAACCGAATATAAAAAAATTGAACCGAACTGTTAGTGTCTGGTTCCGTTTTGGTTTTCACTTTGAAAAACCAAATCGAACCAAGTAAATTGAACTTTCTTAGATACTTTGGTTTATTTATATTAATATATGTGATATGTAGAAAAATCATAAAAATATAAATGTAAATAAATTGCTAGTGGTGGATGCCGGAATTTTTTGCTATTTGGTTTTCCTTAGCATTTAGAGAATTTTCTTCTATAGCAAGAAGACAAGGTTTTAAAAAAAAATCATCATCTAGCACAGAGATTATGATTTATTAGTTTTGAAATAGTGCACATTGGGATGAGACAGAATGATTTTACATGTTGCTTTTATGATTCACATTTGTTTTTACATTTAAAATTTGATTTTCCCATTTTTTTATGTTTTTAATATTTTAGAGCAATAATCTTACCATGCAATACATGCTAAATCTATTTTACTACTATTAAATACTCCGTATTTAATATAGGCCAAGTACTATATTGGCAAATTTTTTAAATTATTTTATTCAATGTTCCATATGTCCCAATAAAAGATCTCATTTTCCTTCTCAAGACATTCTAAGAAATTTTTTTCCAGATTTGGCAAATTTTGTGTGGCTTAGTATATCACTTTTAACTATATAATTTTACTTTTCTTAAATTTTGTATCAAATTCAATTGAAAAGTGTTTTTTGGGCGAAGGAAAAAAATCTCTTTACTTTAATGTCCATACATATTTCACCAATGTTCTCCAATTAAGAAAAATATATATAAATTAAAAAAATTTGGGATGTACTATATTTTAGTTTATATCAAGTTTACATTACCTTTTTCCTAAAATAAAACCTCACATATCAAAAGTATAATATATGTTCAATCTTATAACTTAAGCTTAAAAATGAAGCTCAGTGATTGTAACTGAATAGGACTAAAACATAAGTCATTTTGCAACTTAGGACTTAAATTTTTTTATTCTCTAAATAGGACTTAATAATGACTAGTGAGAAGAATAATGTCCAAGTGATGCTAGACATTTAGTTTAATAATGATTAATAGATAATGACCAATGGTCCTACATTGGGAAATAAAAACATATGGTCATATATTGAGAAAGTCATTATGTTTTAGTCATATTTAGGTAAATTACTCGTGTAATATCTCTTTGTGCAATGATCTTTCAAACACTTTATTGTTTTCCAAGAAAAATTCTAAATTTTGTTCATCCCAATAAATATATTTAAAATACATTTATAATAAATTACTCCATTTGTCACATTTTAAATTATTTGTTTGCCTTTTTTCTCCGTCCCAAAATAAGTTACCTGTTACTTATCATAAACTTTTAAGAATAAAATACCTAAACTACCCCTAAAATAAGTCACTCTTTTCCACCTTATCTTCTCATTCATCGTCAGCCCTCCTAAAAAGTAATGGTAATTTCGAAAAATCAACTCTATTTTTTCTCTTCCTTAAATATGCTCAAAAGTCAAAATAGGCGATTTAAAACGGGACGGAGGGAGTAGTTGTAGGTACTTGTACAAAATTAAATTCTATTCACGTTCTTTTTCAATATATTTCAAAAACGTTACCACAAAGAAGTAATTAAATAATACAATGTGTAATCTATAATTTTTCTTTCTTTTAAACAAATTTTAACGCTCTTTTTTTCAATACTTACTAAAATCTCTAAAAAAAAAACTACTACTTCAAGGGAGAGGGACTCAATCCTTAAAACATTACTCTCTCAGTCACAATTTAAATTATATATTTACCATTGATATGATAAAATTTTAATCCCTTTTTTTTTTACTAATTTTCGAAACTCATTTAATAAAATAATATAATTGTGTTATCTGTTATTCCGTAAAAAAAATTATGTACATTTTTTTAAATATATATTTAATTTTTCAATTTTACCCCAATTATCATATAATATTATTTAAAAATAATTTCAATAAAATATCGTAAACAATCAACTCAAAATGAGATAGAGAGTATGTTGTAATTATTCTTACATGCTACTCCGTAATAACTTTTGTCTAGAAACATATTTTTAGTGATCATTTGATAAAATAAAATATTACAATCATTTCTTTGGTTCTAATAATTTTGATGTACTCATTCCCGCCATAGAAGAACTCACTTATATTCTTTGTCAATCAAGAAAAGAACTTTGTATTTCCTTAATTGGATTTTTTAATGAAATTTTTGCACTAAATTGTACTAAAACTTAAGTCGTTTTCCTAAATACTTGGTCCGTCCCTGAGTGTTTGTCCACTTTTGACTTTTGGAACTGTTCATCTAAGCACTTTGACTCATCAAATTCTCTCAATGTGTAAGCCTAAAAATAGTCATGTGTGATCTTGTTTGATTCGTCTTAACATATAGATTATTAGTATATAATTTTTATAATTTTTTAATATACAAATTACAAGATAAAATGGATTAAAGAAGTGCATTGGATGGTGTGCAAAAATGAAAGTGGACAAATACTCAGGGACGGAAGGAGTAGCACTTAAACTGTATTATTTTTCTAAATAGCACGTAATTATATCCAAAAAAGGAATAATGTCCAATGATGGCAAACATTTACTTAAATAATGACTAATAAATAATGACTAAAAATGTTACATTGAAAAAAACACATATAATGCTATTTAAAAAAGTCATTATTTTTAGTATTATATACAGAGTAAGTAAATTCTTTTTTTTTATATCAAAAGACATCGATATCTTTGCCATTATCCATGAGAACAAGAGAGACAGAGGAGAGATCTGAGATCTACTCCGTAGGTTGTTTTTGAGGAAGAAGAGAAACATTGTAGAGAGGAAGGGGTATTTTGGGAAGTAGAAAAATAATACATACTGCACAAGCATATCTCCCAATCTAGCATCGAAACGATTCGAAGTTCAAACCAAATCTTAAAATCTCCATATACTTTAGCATTGTATAATTGACATTTCAGTCTTTTTGAAACTCAGTATAATACAACACTATAATTCTTATTTTGGTAAACGAACAATGAAATCTTATTTTAATACCAATATATAAATGAAATGTGTTATAGTCCTAGTTAAGTATTTCTATCTTAGCAAAATGGGAGTGTGACAAAAGAGAGAGTGAGAAAGAAAACACAATTTAAAGAGAAGATGCATTTATTCCAAGATCAATCAAGAAAACAACACACAACAAGAAATGCAAAGCATGAACAGATACAATATGGTCACTTCATGAATCCAGAAATCATTGTAATTGATAGCATAGAAGCATAATAATGAAAAGTAAGCAAGCCGAGGGAAGCTCGCGTTCACTAGAGGACAGAGCATTGATCCAATCACACCTGCGTTCATTCGGCATGGACATCAATAACAAGTAAACCACAGAGGCAGATGAGAAAATGAAAGGTATCTTCTATTTCAAAAAATCAAATGCATATGGATCTCTATCTGTGTTTGTTCCCAATATCTTCTGATTTAAAATTCTTTTGGTCTTTTACTATATATTTGAAAGAGAAAGCCTAATGTCATAATATAAGATTAATTATGTATGAAAGAAATAATATCACATTATTATACAAGATTAGCTATAGATAAGTAGAAGGTAGTTTGCGCAGTTCATTATTGCAAGTGCATATCAAAGATTAATCAAAGACCTTTGCCATCATGAATACCGCTTACCAAATGTTAGTAAAAAAGTTGGATGCAATGAGCTAATAGACAATGGTAATCTACCAAACTAAAGGCAGATACTAATACTTATATACTCCGTATAACGTAAAATACGTGATATAAGTTGCAACATATACCCTTACCTTCTCATTGATCTTGCAGTGAATTTTAATTAAAAATAATATGTGGAGATATAGGCCGCGTTTAGTAAGGGTTGTTTGGGTGATTAATTGGGCGAAAGGACTGGATTTAATGAACTTTCTCTATAGGAAAGGAGTTAGCTAAAATCGATTTCAACCAAATAAGGTAATTATTCCTCTTCGAATATGCAAGATTAGGGCTGAAATAGAGTGATTCTCGATCACCATTCTATTTGATATGACAAGAGTAATGTCTCCTTGTTAAAGTATGAAAACATTCCTCGGATTTCAACCACAAGCTTAAGCATTTGGTTGACTTTAGTTCCCTACAACTCCTTGCATGATAGGGCGCATAATAAGCTGGTTAATGTTACCAAACGGGGTCCTAATTAGAAAGGAATGATGCTCTATACACAAAAACATCTACATTGTACTTATGAATATCCCCAGATAAAACTAATTGTTCATGCACAGTAATACAGAATAAAACTGACAAATGTTACCTTCTTTGAGCAACTCCAAGGCATGAGTTATATGCTAAAATATACAAATTATACATGATTTTGTAGCCTTTTTCTCCTACTCCAATGGGTCATTTATAATTTAGCATGGGAGTTATAAAAGAAGACATGTCATCTATATATAGAGGATGGCTAAAGCTAAGATGTGCTCTGTAATGCCTTTTTTCTCTGTATATTATTAAGAAAAATAATATAATATTTTAATTACATTATTTACATAAATATAAATTATAATATGGAAATATGAATAAAGTGTTTGTATAAAAAATTAATTTTAAATAAAAAAATATTGTTAAAGTGTAAAAAATAGATGACATGGTTGGAGAGGGGGTGAAAAGGTGGGTTGTTAAAACACTTTTGGAAAGCTAAAATAGCTTTTAGCTTTTCAAATAAAAGCTTCTCCCTTGGAGATGCTCTAGCACTTATATGCCTGACATTTTATATCAGTATTAGCCAAGAAGGCAAAAAATTGGGATTTAGAAATGCATATTTTTTAAGTAGACTTTCCACTCTTCCACCATTGATAAAGCAAGATTTAAGTTAATCAACAAAACCTTTCTTGAAAATCAGAACATTAATTAACAGTTTAACACAAAAGGCCTCAACAGAACAATAGAGAGTTGCAGAGAATGAATACTTACCATATGTATGAAGATGAGCTGGAGAGGACCTGACGGGCAATCATACATTATCAGTTCTTTCCCTTGTGCTTATGCTCCGATTGCGGGTCGCCATAGTAGAGCTGCAAACGGGCATCCAATCCGTGGAGAAAGTGATGATGGTTGTCCGCGGGTGGAGCTGTGGGTGCTGCTGCAGCTGCGAAGAAACCTGTTGGCGTTCCGTCAATGGGGTGAAACCTCTGGAGGTGAGGAGGCAACATAGACAGAGAGGAAGAAGATGAAGAAGAATTGGACTGAAGGGTCCCCCTAAAAGCAGCAATGCCAGTAGAAGACGAGGAAGAAGTCGAAATGCTGAAGTTCAGATTGTAATCGTTGGGGTTGTTATGCTGGACAAAGGAGAATTGGTTTTCTCCTGTGGCATTAAACAGGGAGGAAGAAACCCGAGGATTCATCAGAGGGTTTCCGGCGTGGATTTGATGGGCAGAGGAATGGTTTAATAGACCACTGGTGACATAGTCAACTGAGAAGATCTCTGAATCGCCTTTGATGGCACTTCCCCCACTAGTCAACAGCTCAGTGAAGCTTGAATTTTGGGAAATGGAGTTCATGGGCTCCACATTTTCTTTGGCCTTCTCCTTCCCGACCCGAGTTCCGTCCAAGGCCAGGAGAGGATACTCCGGCGACCGGAAAAGAGAAACCCCGCCGGAGCCTTTGCTGTTGTCCGATGGGCTACTGTGCAGCCGATCTCCGCCGCCCCCACCCCTGGGTTTCCTCCCATCACTTAGCTGAAGCGTATCAGGATACGAGGCATTCAGAGAAGGGAGCTCGTCGATAAACGGAGCCGCCGCCTTCAACAGCCACTCCACCGCCTTGCTGGGCTGGTCGTACCCGAGGCGGTCCTGCAAATCGTAGAACTGCACGGCGGTGGTGACGGAGAGGCGGACGCGGCGGTCCCTCAAGCCCTTCGAAGTCCACACCTTACTGTGCCTGTCCTTCCCTCCCGAAGACCGAGAAACCCGAACAATCCGGGACGACGGCCAACCATAGAGCCTCCCGAGAGTGCCGCCGCCGCCGCCTTTGCTCCTCCTGATGTCTCCATCTTCTTCACCATTTCCGATTCTTGGGTTTTCAACCTCCATCCCAATTTCATGCCTTTCTCCACCACCCAATTGGGTGTCTCGAGAAAGGGTAAAAAGCTTATCTTTCTAAGAATGCAGATTCCAAAAATGAAATTAGGGTTTGAAAGTAGAAGAGAAAAGAGAAAAGGAGAGGTCTGCAAGTGTGGTGCGGTTAATAATGGTGGGGTAAGTTTCACTATTACACACTAATCTTAGCTCTTAATTACAGTCTTACTTACGTAGTGCGGTAGTTATGCAGACAAACATAAGACCATGTTTGGTGAACGAAATACTGATTCAAGTATGAGAGAAAATGGGGTGTTTTTTGTAAGAAAGAATATATTTTTCTTGTTTGATTAGAAAGGAAAAAAAGAGAAAAGTGAGAAAAAAAGAAAATGAAAAGGCAAAAGGTGGTTAGAGGAGGGAAACCAAATTCCTCTTATTTTGATGAGAAAAATGAAGGGAAACGATTTTCTTTTATTTTTCTTTCAAATTCCCGGAACCGTATAGTATTATATTCCCTCCGTCGCTTAAAAAAACTTCTCATTTTAAATTTTAAAGGATTTAAGAAGAGTGTATTTCGGTGTTGACTTTTGAAAAATGTCATTTGAGGTGATGGATAAAGTAGGATGAGATGAGTAGATTAATAGAGAAAAAATGTGATGTGATAGGTAGATTAAAAATTAATAAGGGTAAAAGTGACTTTTTATTAAGAAAAGAGAAGTAATTTTTAAAACGGATAAATAAGGAAAGAGGAAGGGTTTTGTGGGACAAATGGAGTACTATGTTTGGTTTAGACGTTTTGGAAGAAAAGAAAATGGTTTTCCCTCACTTTCTTCACCAAAATATAAGAGATTTGGTTTTCCCTCTCCTTACTTGTTTTTTTCTTCTCATTTTTTTCTTCCACTTTTCTTTTCCTCTAACCAAACAAGAAAAATATATTCTTTCTCATTTTTTTCATTTTCTTCTCAAATTCCTTGAACAAAACATAGTGTTAGAGAAAATTAGAATGATAATTTCAATTCTATTGTTTGATAACACAAAAATATATGATTCTGGAATTGGTAATGCCGAAAATAAATTGGAATTGAAGATTTCAATTTCCTCCAAATCATTTCATAGAATTTCAACACTCTACTCAATTTATATTCCTTCAATTCTGTGTACCAAATGAACCCTTAGGCCATTTGGAATAGGAAGGGAAGAAAGATGCAGCACCGCTCAGAGCGCGTGGCGAGCACCTCGCTCCATTGCAGAGAGGCGACAGCATTTGGCGTCACAACGCAAGCCAGATTCTGGGATTGACGCAGGACGTGGGGCGCGACAAAAAGGCAATGATGTCCATTTCAGGAGCGTTTGGCGTCACAACGCAAGCTGGATTCTAGACTTTTTTTCAATTTATTGTTAATATAATTCTTTTCAATTATTTTATTACTCCCTCCGTCTCTCTTAGTTCTTCCAACTTTGAATTGTACAGTCTCTAAGTACAACATTTTGATCATTAATATCTTTATTTATATTTAAATACTTATTATAAAATTATGTATTTCAAGATAAACCTATTGATATTAAATTTATATTATAATTCAAATCATTTTTTAATAATTTGTGGTCAGAATTTTAAAAAGTTGATCGTGCAAATCAAAGTTGGAAGAACTATATATGCATTTGGGGGTCAATGCTATATAAGGGGGCACCTGCCCCAGTCCAATTTTTTTTAATATAGATACTTTATTTAAAAAGAGGTGAATGTTTTCTCATCCATACATGAGACTCATATATGGAAAGTGTTGACAACACAAATGGTAGTTTAATTATTTTGCCTCAATATTTTCCTTCCATTTTAAGTATGTTTTCATTTTTATTTAAAATTTGCACCATTTAAGTATATATATTAAATTAAATAAATTAAATAGTAGTGAACCACTGGGGAATTATAGTATGAAAATAAAATACAGTACCATTTAAATATGAAAATAAAATTAAAAAACTACAAATTAATATTAATACTATAAATTACAAGCATGGAAATGTTTTAAAAATGATAAGTGTTCTAATTAGAAAATTAATAAAGTATGCGCGGGATTAAAATGATTTATTTCAAAAAAACTACATACAAATTAATTAGTAATTTCAAAAAAAATTATAATTTACAAGCAGGAACGTATAAAAATGGTAAGTTCTCTAAAATAAATTAGAAAATAAATATGGTATTGTAAGTAAACGGTAACATTTAAATACATAATAAAATAAAAAACTACAAATTAATATTAATACTATAATTTACAAGCACGGAAACATTTTAAGAATGATAAGTGTTCTAATTAGAAAATTAGAAAATAAGTACGGTGTGGTATGGTGAGCAAATGGCACCATTTGAAAATAAAACTAAAAAAATGGTAAGTGTTCTAAAATAAATTAGGTAAGTGTTCTAAAATAAAAGAGAAAGTAAAATACATCTAAAAATGATTAGTGTTCTAAAATAAATTAGAAAATAAATGTGGTTCGGTAAGTTATTAGTACCATTTAAATACGAAAATAAAATAAAAAAATTGCAAAATTAATATTAATACTATAATTTGCATACATGAAAATATTTTTAAAAAGGTAAGTTTTCTAATTAGAAAATTAAAAAATAAATATGATACGGTACGTCAACACGATAAGCAAATGGTACCATTTTAATACAAAAATAAAATAAATGTTAAGTGTTCTAAAATAAATTAGATAAGTGTTCTAAATAAATTAGGAAATAAAATAAATATCAAAATGGTAAGTGATTTAAAATATATTAGAAAATAAATACGGTATGATAAGTAAATGATACCATTTAAATACAAAAATAAAATAGAAAAATTAAAAATTAATACTATTAATTAATACTACAATTTACAAGCATGGAAACACGTAAAAATGGTAAGTGTTATCAAATAAATTAAAAAATAAATACGGTACAGTAAGTAAATGGTACCATTTAAATTCAAAAATAAAAAAATTATAAATGAATACTATTAATACGATAAGCATAGAAACATGTAAGGGAGAAAGACCAAAGTATGACTAAAACATAGAAAATATACCAAAATAGGACTTCCATGTTTTTATTCCCGAAATAGGACTTACATTACCAAACATGGTCATATACATTACCAAAAAAGTATAGTAATGTGCACATGTACACTGCCACATTACCACAGTGCAAAGTCACATTTCAGGAAAAAAACATGAAAGTCTTATTTTGGTACTTTTCACTATGTTTTAGTCCTATTTAAGGTGATTTCTAAACATGTAACAATGGTAAGTATTCTAAAATTATTAATATTAATACTATAATTTACAAGCATGGACACGTGTAAAAATGGTAAGTGATCTAAAATAAAATAGAAAATAAAAATTGTAAGTCATTTTAATTTTGTACATCAAAATAATGAAATCTTTGCATTCTAATATATACCAATTTATATTCTTAAAAATGATCTTAATTTATTAACGTAACTATGACCCGTGCAACGCACGGGTTTGATACTAGTATTGTGTAAAAAAAATAAAAATTTCTAATAATTTAAGTGTGTGCCCCGGGTGAAAAGTATTATGTTCCCCGTCAAAAACAAAAATAAAGTCCAAAAGAAAAAAAAATGAATTAAAGTTGTAATTCTATTCAAAGTTGTACAAAACAGGAAACGACATTACCATAATTCTTTATTTCATGAAGATGAATTAAAGTGAATAAAAGAAATAAAGAAATACTCCAATAGAGTAACAATACTAACTCACCATGCCAATAGAGTAACATAGCTAACTCACCACGCAATCCCTTTAGAAGAGTATTTCAAAAATAAGTATATATAGAAATAATATAATGATTGAACTAAACATTAATTGGAGTCATCTTATAGTCTAATACCTATAAATACACCCTAACTTAGAAAAATAAAAGTGAAATTTGCATTAAATAGCAATAAAACATATATTCTTTCTCAATGTAGTACTTAAAATTTTCTATTCTCTAAATAGTACTTGAATAATGACTAGTGGAATGAATAATGTCCTGTGATGGGGAAATTTGATTTCAACAATGTTCAGTGGTGTTGGACATTTACTTGAAAAATGACCAGTAGACATTGAACAGTGATACTACATTGGAAAAGAAAAAACATACGGTACTACATTAAAAAAGTCACTATGTTTTAATACTACTCTCTAGATAAATTCTTCCTATTACAAAAACCAAGAAATTTCCCAATTCTCTTCAATTCCATCCCTTCAAATCAAATGAAGTCCCCAAAGGAATGAGGATTGAAAATGATGAGGAGAGAATAGAAGAGAAGACCAAGATTGAGGAGTAAACCACATGCGCCAAGGGCTAAGGCTGCAAATACAACGCCGCAAAAATGACGAGCAACGCCGCACACGGCTGACCATTCCACTTTTGGGCTTCCATTGTTCAGCAAATGATAGCTCTCCGCACTCACCGACAGGCTCGAGACCAGCACTATGGTGGAAGCCTTTTTTAATTACAAGTACAAATAAATAATTAATTATTGACAAAGAGATCAAGAAAAATGAATTTGCATGTGTGGTTTAAAGTGATATTGAGAAGAGAAAAGTATAATGAGTAATGACCATGAATTCTTTTTTCAAAAGTGAAAAGTAGAATTCTTTCTAGACAAACGAAATAGAACATGTAAAACTTTTTTATGAAGCCAAATTAAATGAGTATTTTAATTTAATAATCCTTTGGTATAATTAATTACATACCATATCGACCAGTACCACCATCCGCCACAGGTTAGAACCAGAGGGAATGCAAAGAGTGGAAAAATTGTATGCGCTCGCAAGAGAATTTGCAATAGCGAAGAATCTGCAATTTGAGCAATCATTTTCATTAGGCCCTAGATTATTTTAAGTGCTTAATTATTAGATTCCTATATATTTTTGAAAGTGCTCCATGAGGCCCCTAAATTATTTTTAGTACCTACCAAATTCTTATATTTTTCTAACTGGTGCGTTAGTAGTCCCTTCGATGACATTTTTCAGATCAAGTACGCGGAAATTGTTTGAGCAACATGCACAAGTTATTCGAAAATTTATGATATAACGTCAATTCTTACCACAATTTCAGGAAACTTGGTATGGAAAAAGTCACCGAAGGAACCACTAAGGAACCAGTTAAAAAAATAGGAATCAGATAAACACTAAAAATAATTTAGGGACATGTGAAGCACTTTCTAAAAAAGATAGAGACCTTGTAAACACTTAAAAAAATTCAGACTCAGGAAACATTTTCAGAAAATATAGGGACTTTTTAAACACTTTACCCTGAAAATAAATACTCTCTCAGTTTCTAAAAAGACTTCCTATTTTGAATAAGGGTTGAAATAGGGAGTTTATATTTGTTATTGACTTTCAAAATTTATCCTTGATGTGATATTTAAAAGGTAGATGCGATGGGTAAATTATTAGTGAAAAAGTATAATGTAATTTGTAAGGTAAGAAGAGAAAGCAGTAAAAATAGTTTTCCATAGAAAATAGAAGTGTTTTGGAAAAAGAAAAAAATGAAAGAGAAAGTGTTCTAGAAAACAGAGCTGAGGGAGTATGAATTACATAGTACTCCCTCCGTCCTAAAAACTCATTCTCCTTTCTTTTTTTATTTGTCCCACAAAATCATTCCTATTTCTATTAAAAACCTACTTTTAGTCTTATTAATTCTAAACATACATATCATATCATACATTTTTACTAAAAATCTACACATTACATTCTACTTTTACACATTACATCAATGGTATATTTTTGGAAAGTAATACAAAATATCACTCCCTTAAATTTATTAAAGATCAAAATAAGAACATCTATTTGCGACAGAGAAAGTACTAGTTTAAATTAGTTTAGTTTAATTTTTATACAAATCATCCAGTGAGTATCAAATGTTTTTTTCTTTTGTACATGCTATGTTCAACATTGATTAATACGTACTGTAGTTAAACTTTTCGCAATTTTACAAAACAAATAAAAAAACTCAGATAGTGAAATTGAAAATTTAACAAACTTGTTTTCCATGCGAGTCGGATAATAAATGAAGAAAAATTAAAATAGTAATACTCCGTAGTAAATTTGAAATTTTAACACCACTATCAAACTTTAATTAGATAAAAATATTAATGTCTGTGAATTTAGAAAAAAAATGAAAGTACCATAATACATGCACTTAATAAATATTCTTAAAATAAATGCTAATAATTTGCTCTATAACATTGAGCCGGGCATCAGGGTTTGAGGTTAGCATTCGCTTTTTAAAAAGGTTATCCGACGAAAGCGTTAACGTTTTTAAAATTAATCTACACCACTAAAATTTATCTAAAACGCTAATCGAAAATGATGTTCTCAAACAAGACCTAAAACACGAGACCGAATTGGACTCGACATCAAGATTTATTAACCAATTTTAATTTTGATTGGTTTTAAAAGTGTTATGGTATAAATTTTTTAATTCTACACATATTTTAAAGATAAAATATGCGTGAAACATGAAATTAAAAGAAGACATATACTCCCTTCGTCCCTGAGCATTTGTCCACTTTTGATTTTTTTCGGTCAAATTTGGTAAAATTTAACTTCAAATTAAATAAAAATGATATTAGATATTGATACAAAAAGAGTTTTCTTAGATTTGTTATATCAAATATTTTCAAAATATTATTTTATTTCATTAAAATACAATATATATTTTATTTAATTATAGGTCAAAGATTGAAAACAGTTAACTAAAAAAAGTTAAAAGTGAACAAATACTAACGAAGGAAGAACTTACACGAAAGAGACCCAATCACTGGAAGATATCTTGAAAATAAAGCCATTAACGTAAGACCTTTGGTAGGCGAAGAGCATCGAAACGGCGGCGGCGAAGTATGCCACGGAGGCCAGGCTTCTAACTGCCACTGACGCCGCCGTCTTTGCCATCGATCGTCGATGGAGTTGAGTAATACAATAATTATAATAATAATAATTAATTATGGGAATAAAATTTCTATGAAATCAACTTAGAATACGTATAGTATTAGTACGTGTGATGTGATGCATATTACCAGTTATATAACCCATGTTGAAATCATGGAAATTTCCATTCTTATGGTAATACTCCCTCCGTCCCAATTTATTTGCCACATTTGTTTTTTTAACAGTCGCGGGAACTTTTGTTTATTTCTACGTTTTCATTGGTTATTTGATAAAATAAAATATTCTTGACACCTCTTATTTCGAAGAACTTTTCATGTAGTTTTTTTATATGTAAATTTTATTTTTATTTCTTTACCAATATGTAAATAAAATGAATTGAAAAAACTTGATATTTTGCCTCGGTAATAGAAATGTGACAAATAATTTGGGACGGAGGGAGTAAAATATAGTGATATAGACATATAATTAGGCACGAACTTTCTATTTTTTCTGCAGTTAGAGTAAAAAGAAGTAAAGATCTTAATAAGTGTATCGAAGGATATAATGAAGTTAAAGAAACTCAAAAGCAAAATATTGAGGTCTTTCCCAACAAAAATGACGAAATAAAAATATGTCATTTTTATAACAATTAATAATATTAATTAATTAATTATGGAGAAAAATTTCCATGAACTCTACTTAGAATACGTATACTACCATTACTACGTGTGATATGATGTATGTTAACTAGATCTGGCGAAAAGTGACCCGACCTATTTTTTACTCGAAACCCAACTTAAAAACACTGGGTTTTGAACAAAAATTTTGATGATCAAAACCGAAATGACCCGCTAAAAATGGGTCAAACCCGACTGAACCCGACCTGACCGACCCGCTAAAGTAAGAATTTTTCAAAACTATATATTTTTTTACTCATTTTTAGTGTATAAATTTAAATTTTCACACAAAATCTTTATGATATTGCACAATTATCTTACTTTTTTCCAAAACTCAAGCATTTTTAAATTCCTTATCTTGATTTATATAACTAAAAACTACTTGAGAGTTTAAAATAAAATAATTTTAAAGATTTAATATTTTTTTTGATATTTTAAATTCATTTAATAGAAAATGTAAGTGTTAATGTGAATTTAAAAATTTAAAAAACCAAAGTCATAACCCGTTGGGTCGACCCGAACCTGATGACATTGGGTCATGAACATACAGTTCTCAACCCGAACCCGAATTGGCCCGAACCCGAAATAACCCGAACTTGAAGTGATCGAACCCGAACCCGACCTGACCGACCGATTTGCCACCTCTAATGTTAACAATTATATAACCCATGTTGAAATCATTGAAATTTTCATTTTTATGGTAATAAAATCTAGTAATATAGACGTATAATAGTATGTACCAACTTTCCATTTTTCCTACAGCTACGAGTAAAAAAAGTAAAGATCTTAATAAGTGCTTCGAATATATCAAACTAACTTAATTAAGAGGAGTAATGAAGTTGAAGAAACTCAAAACCAAAATATTGACGCCTTTTCCAACAAAGTATGACGAAATAAAAACATGTCACTTTTATTTAATTTTGATGCTAGCTTGATGGACAACATAACAACCACTATGGTTGCAAACTTGGGTTCCAACCAGCTGCGACAACTATGGATGGTGACTCCAGCAGAAAAAGAGCACATCATCATTGATTTTGGGCATTGATGTAGGATTCATGTGGAAAATAATTATACTTTTAATCATCAATTTAACATCAACATGACGAACGTAAGGTCAATTTTAGATGATTAAAAATATTAAAAATTAAATCCCCACGTAACAGTCATATAATAGACCTTTTCACAGAATACTATCGAGAGAATAACTCTTAAATATAAAGTATCACGCATATAATTTTTACTAATTAAAAGCAGATTTGAAAACCCACCTAATTTGAAAAAATCATATTGAGAACACACTTTTAGTTTAACATTTTAATATTATAGGTTGACTTTGTAATAGTAAGTGAAATTTATTTTTTTATATATAAACTGATATATTACTTCATTTATAAATTGTATTCACATTGATGATGATGATGTCAATAATAATAATAATACTAATAATAATAATAATTTCAATAAGAACAAAAAAATAAAATAACAACAACTATAATAATAGTATTAACAATATAATTATGAATTAATAACTAAATGTAATAATAAAAATGATTACATTAGAGTTATCGTGTAGGCATATTTCAAGATTTTATTTCATTGTATTTATATGCACTGCAAATTTAGAATAATTGATTATTAAAAAATTTCCACTTTAACTCAAAAAAGTCAAACTGAACGAATACAGTAGACAGATGGAATATGTGTGTTCTAAACTTGAATGTGTAGTAGTATAAGGGGCTGTTTGGCAACTTCTGAATAGGTAAGTGCTGAACCAGTAAGAGGTCTGGACCATTAAGTGCTGAATCAGTAAGAGGTCTGAACCATTAAGAGCTAATATATTGCTTAACTATTCAGAGGCAAATGTCTGATCAATTCAGATAAGAGGTCTTAACCACAGACTCTGTATAATACTTAACCATTCAGAGGCAAATGTCTTAACCATTCAGACATCTGAACCATTAAGAGGCTGAAACAAACAGTCTGAACCATTAAGTGCTGAACCATTCAGACATCTGAACCATTAAGAGGCTGAAACAAACAGCCCCTAAGAGAATGTTTGGGATTGTGGTAAATTCTAAAAAACCAAAATTATACGTAAGAGAAGAAAACAGAGGCTTAACTTTTGCTTAGAAACACTTTTGAAGCTCATTATAGACTTTTGAAGTGCATATAATAACACTAAAAGTAGAAATATATTGCCAAACACCCGCTAAACTGCTTTTTAATGAAGCAAAAGCTCAAACAGAGTTTTCAAACCACAACCGCAACCACTCTCTAAAAGTTTTTAATCAAACTACTACCGGCACAAATTTCCATGAATTTAAACCATTTATATGAACAACAAACCAAAGAATATATTGAAATATAAAAAAAATTCAAACGTTTGATTTCACCTACTACAACATGAAGTTGATGAGAAATTGAGAATGAGGCAAGAAATGAGAAAATGCCAACTTGATTGCAATTGAAATACATTGTAATCCTAATAAGCCTAAAGCATTGGTACGAATTAAAAGTTTAAAACGATGGATTGCATTCTATAGTGAGAGGCCACCCGGTTATTTTAAAGTTAAGAGGTCGTTTGGTACACGGAATTGACATGATTGGAATTGAATTGGAACTAAAATTCTATAGAATTGAATGGAATTGAATTCACCAATTCCAATTCATCTTTTGCACTTCTAATTCCAAATCCACATATATATTTTTGTGCTACCAAACAGCAGAATTGGAATTGTAGTTCCCAATTCCAATTCCATGGCTTAACTTCCGGAGTTCCGTATACCAAACGGAGCCTAAGTGTTCTGGGAAAATGTTGGAGAGAAACCACCAAGCCAAAACCTGGTTTATGCTTAACTATTTCAGATGCCACATAGATATTCTCATGGACAGTGTGCTCACAACAAAGGTTTTATTTTTCAACAACAAATCTAGAATAATCCCAGACACCTCAAATTCAGTGTGTATAGACAGAAACATTGGAGGGCTGTTTGTACTACATGTTCTACTAACCTCAGGTGACAATTAGAATGTTAGAATGGAAAGCACCATACAGTGTAATTTGGAGGCCTGTGCCAAAGCTTGAAGATGCTTAACGAGTTTTCTTCAATCGTTTTGCGGGCCTTGTTGGCTCTTTCCTCAAATCCTCAGGAGTTTTAATGTCATCTTGTCGCTGCAAAATATTACAAATTTGTGTAAATTGACAGCATTATGTCTAAAGTTGATGAAAAAGATCCAATATATGCACTGTTTATGCTGATGAAGGCTGGAGGTATCTATCTTTTTCTAAGGAAATGATAATCACACATTAGTTTCAAATACATGAGATGCAAGGGCAGCCCGGGCAGGGGTGACGTAGGGCATAAATACAAATGTGTATGAGCTCGCATATATGTTGTGTGAGCTGCATGAAAAATATGTTCACTTGTGGATGAAGAAAAAGAAAAGTATTGAACTGGAGGCTCTTCCTAGTATGACGTTTTTGTATTACTATTAACTAACCAATTTTCCCTTAAATTTTAGAGTTTTAGACTCTAGCTAGCATCATGCACCTTCTAAATCTGAACTTGAGCATAAACTTTAGTGAAATTTGCACTGAATAGGACTAAAACATAAGTCATTTCCCAATATAGGACTTAAACTTTTTTATTCCCTAAATAGGACTTAATAATGACTAGTGAGAAGAATAATGTCCAAGTGATGCTGGACATTTAGTTGAATAATGACTAATAGATAATGACCAATGGTCCTACATTGGGAAATAAAAATGTATGGTCCTATATTGAGAAAGTCATTATGTTTTAGTCCTATCTAAGTAAAGTACCCTAAACTTTAACAGGTATAGTCCACACATTTATAATACCACGACATAAATATTTATTGCATCACAGAGCACATCTTTTTAAAATCAGCACTAAAAAGCAACAATGTGTTATTGATGCAAAGTAGAAGAATCTCATATTTAATACATAGAGATTGACAATATTTGGGGAAAACTAGACGAACCAACTACTCCATATAAGTTTTCTTGTTCGTTTAAAAAAAAAAGAATAGTGTACTACGCACCGAGTATTGCATTATTACAATCAATTAAAAAATGAACAACAAATATATTCGTGTCAAAGTGAGCGGAACTTTTTTATTTATAAAAATGTTCTCGTGACAAACTCTTGTTTACTCTGTATATGATTACAGCCACCACCATTTTCTTCTTCCTCTTTTCTTGAAGCAGTACAGAAATGGACATAAGACCAGACACCAGACTATATGTACACACTTAAAAAATCCTACGGTGACATGCACTTTAGATAAGCATGAATCAAATTGAAAAACTAAATCCTAGGGCAGTATATATACAACAGAAAATTCAGAAATTCATTGTCATAACCTGCAAATTGGGACAAGCTTTGATATTTACAAAGCAAAAGCCAAGCACAATTGTAATTCATAGACTAGAATACTAGATACTGAAGCCAATGCCTAATAGAACAAAAAAATCTGCTAATGAATATGGGAAAGGCCAAAAAAGTGATCTCCATACTTCTAACCTCTTCAAGTTTTCTTTGAAGTTCCAAAAGCTGTTGACAATACGAAAGGCACTCCGCGTGATATGCAGCAGCCAAATCTTTTATCAAAGCCTTTCTTTTGATGATGCCAATCACTTGAACACAATCAGGAAAATGTAAATACCACAAACAATAACAACAAAACCAGTATAATCCAAACCCCATTGGGGTCTGCATCCAGGAGAGGTAAAAATGCATATCAAATTTGACAAAATACTCAAATTTGGAAACACTCTTCTGGTTCTAGTCAGAAAATATGTCAAACAGTCAATGCAAATCGCCTTCAGATGCAGGCCTACAGATTTATGGAATGAAAGAAAGAA